AGTTTAAAACCGTTTTCCTCCCTGTCCTGGCCAAGATGAACCGAAGAAAATCTTTCAAGTGCCGTCAAAGAACCCAAAAGCAGTCGAGTTTCCATTTACGGAGCACAGGGATTAAGGATTCTGCTGTCAGTCAAGCTGAGCTGGGAGATGAGCTTCATCTTCATCGGATTTCACCAGCCCCTCCAGAGGAGCTGGCCACCTGACTGATACTGTACAGACAGAATAAAACCATTCGTGCTCAGTCCTTTTGTAATTGTTAGCCGTGAGGTTGTTCTGATTTGTGGTGCCAGTGCATCGCTCTGTAGTGCTCCTCAAAGTATCACATGATTATTAGCCGTTTTGAATTAGAAAATGACATGCGTGTATGAAACAAATTAGCTTTGAAATACATCAGCCATAAGCCGTTAACTTAAACACAGGTTTGACTCCAGCAGTGTGTCCTACAGAGGTGGCACTGAACAAGACACTGACGCTGCTGAAATCTACCTGGAGTAAAACCTGTGTTCAAGTTAACGGCTATTGTAAGCAATAGCACAGCTAGTCAAGTTTCATAAATAAAGTGCCAAGCATTGCATTTCACAATAAAGCCGCAAAAATTTTCTGGATGTACTGACCCAACATGCTAGAGTGGCACTGGTACTTTACTGATAATTCATGTGAAATAGTAAGAACAGCTGGACATGTCAAGACTTTCAAAAACAGTGCCCTCTCTCTCTCTCTCTCTCTCTAGTTGCACAACAGCACATTCTGAGTCAATTAGTTCAGTGCAGAGCACAGCTTGTGTTTGTGGGAGGAGGCCATCAGATCTTAGTCACTCCTGCAAACAAGCAGGGCCACAGCAGCGCGATAGTGCACCAATCCCTTGCTGTGATGTTAGCTACCCAGCAAACACTTTATCTTATTTTCCAATACACACACACAGACAGAGAGAGGAGAGAGAGAGAGAGAGAGAGACACACACACACACACACACACACACACTTTCGGCTTTTCCCGTTTAGGGGTCGCCACAGCGAAACGTCACACTGACGACTCGCATGTTGACATTTGGCACATGTTTTACGCTGGATGCGCCCCTGACTCGAGCCTGGGCCAGAGCACACACACACACACACACACACACACACACACACACACACACTATAATTTCAAGGAGAATAAATAACATGAATCCAGGCTATGTCAACAAATCAGTACAATGATATAGCCTAATATACTACTATGGTGATTGGATAAATTACTTCATGTGTCTTTAGCTGTGTTCCATTGGGTGCCAACATGTCCCTTGTTACATAGTGTAGTTAAATAGAACGGAAACTAGGCCCATCCGGTGGTGGGTCCTACATGGTCGCATTTTTGACCAAACCTTTTCTTCCATAACATGACGTACATGTAAATAAGGTGACTGTGGTTCAGAGGGTAAAAGGGGTCATCTCCCCAACAGACGGTGTGAGGTTCACAGCACGGTGCCTGTAGTCCACATGTCGAGGTGTCCTTGGGCATGACACGGAACCCCCGCATTGCCCAAGGGAATAGTGGAGGCCAGCTGCGATGGCATCTGAGGTGGCCCTGTTGGGCCTGTAGGCATACTGCAGGGGGTCCAGTGTGTCCGGTATACTGCTCTGAATGCAGGCCAACACCACTCTCTCAAAACACTTCATAAGAATTGGGGTGAGTGCCATTGGCCTGTAGTCATTCAAGCAGGTGACCGGGCTCTTCTTGGGAAGGGGGACAATGGTTGTGGTCTTAAAGCAGGTGGGAACGATGCTCTGGCCGAGGGAGAGGTTGAAGATGATGGTGAGAACATCAGCCAGCTCGCTGGCACATGACCTGAGAGACCTCCCAGGGATGTTGTCCGGTCCTGCTGCTTTGCGGGGGTTGATCTTCCTCATGACTGTGCGTACCTGGCCTGGTGAGACAGTTAGTGGAGGGGAGTCTCTTAGCTGTTCCTAGGACTGCGCTCTTCTGGACAGAGATGTCAGATGTTGTTCCTGGGATACATCTATCAATATGGTCTTCTTCAGTTTGTACCTTGAAGTCCCACAGGATCTTAGCTTGGTCACTCTTCTTCTTGCCACTCTTCCATAAAAGCCAGATTTGTGGAGTGCACGACTAATAGTTGTCCTGTAGACAGATTTTCCCACCTGAGCTGTGGATCTCTGCAGCTCCTCCAGAGTTACCATGGGCCTCTTGGTTGCTCCTCTGATTAATGCTCTCCTTGCTCAGCCTGTCAGTTTAGGTGGACGGCCATGTCTTGGTAGGTTTGCAGTTGTGCCATACACTTTCCATTTTCAGCTCTGTTTACTAATTAGGTGATTTCTGAAGGCAGTTGGTTGCACTGGATTTTATTTAGGGATATGAAAGTAAAGCGGGCTGAATACATATGTACGCCACACTTTTCAGATTTTTATTTGTAAAAAATCTTGAACACAACGTATCATTTTCCTTCCACTTCACAATTTTGCAATACTTTCTGTTGATTTATTGCATAAAATCCCAATAAAATATATTTAAGTTTGTGGTTGTAATGTGACAAAATGTGGAAAAGTTCAAAGGGGTATGAATATTTTTGCAAGGCGCTGTATATAAAGAGAAAGAAAGAAAAAAGAATGAATAGTGGTACTAGCGCTGACTAAATCCTTAGTTGGGTACAGCCCTAAGTGATATAAGTGGCCAATGACGTCAAAGGTCTTCATATGGTTCGGTCACCTGGGATCTAAATACTTATTAGGAAAACCTGGAGTCTGAGGTCAACACAGAAGTGCCTGATCCAGATCCGGTGATGAGGAAAGTCTGGTCCGATCTTTCCGATCCTCTCTGTGCACGTTTTTCAGATGACAACAAAAGTAACAAATAACTGACACTATATGAGGAAAGACTGTTTGTATGTGTGGTCCACAGTGAAAGGCTTCAACGCCACGATAAAGGCTAAATAAAGGTCCAGCAGTGCCGTTCTGAAACACTCAGCGCCAATGTGAGCGGTAAATGTTTACTTAGGAGGCGGCGTGTCGACATGGACGCTGTGTACAGTACAACGTGTTCTGGGCTCGTACTTACTTTGTGACAGCACATATTTGCTTGAGCAGGCCGCGAGGTTGCATCTCCTGGCGGGCGTTATCCGGTGACTCTTGGCGTGTCTGACGAGCCGTCGGTGAAACTGGGAAGCCAGGGGTCTTACTACAGATGACAGTGTCACCATGTTGATCAACGTAACGTTACCAGCTTCTCTGCGAGCGGTGAAACATCCGGTTAACGTCGTCCGGAGGCGCTGTTCTATCCGAAGCTAACACGTAGCTAACCTATGTGTTATTTGTTGTAGCTGTAAGGTAACTCCGCCAAAGTTAGCTCTCGGTGCAAAGCCCGTTCAAAACTGAACTCTCCGTTGTCTCTGCTCCTGGAGGCGAAGGAAAGGCCAGGTTTTTGTTTTAACTTAGCGTAGTTCGATGGAATTGTTGCCATAAAAGCCAACAGCTGTATCTGCTGAAGCTATGACCTAGGTTGAACCCCATTAAAGGACCTTTTCTGGAGCAGACACTCAATAAACAATAACATGGGCCTGGCGTTACAAAACCGCACTGTGGGCAGGAAGGGGAGGGGGACTGTGCTGGCCAATCAGCGGCCTCCTCTGAAGGGCGTTGAGCACTTTGGATGATTAATATTAGTGTACAGCTGGAAAGTAAAAATACTGTGGAATTTAAAGTTTTACTTAAGAAATGGATCTGTAAAATATACACAATTAGAAACATAGATTCTAAGTTGTAATTAAGTAGAAGTACAGCCATACTATCAGAAATATTTAATTAAAATATTAAGGAAAATGAATTATGCAGAACAGACCTCTCCATATTGTGTTGATATTTTCTTTCCTGATGCTTTAATGTGTATGCAGAATATGAATGAGGCAGTTTGATCCATAATATGTCTCATATGTTAAAAGTAGTCGAATGTTTTACATGTGAAATGTGCAAACTAACTAGTAACTATAGGTGTCAAAAATGCAGTGGAGTGAAAGATACATCATTTGAACTATAAAGTAGCATAAAATGGAAATACACAAGTAAAAATACCTTAATATTGTATTTAAACACAGTAGTTTAATTTCCACCATTGATGACTGTTGTGAATAAGTGTAATTTTTGTTATTACAGTAATTACATCCTGGGATCTAAAAGATGATCAAACAAAATACATTTGGTTGTAAATAACTACAAAAGCTTTCTTTCTAATGAATAACAGTCCTTCACCGAATTCACCATTGTAACATTGTAGACAAGCCAGAAAAAAAGGGAAACCATGCTGTGGGCTCTTTAATGAAAGATGCCTTCCATTTCAGTTTGCCAGTTTCAGGTATTGTGCATGCAGGCTAACAACCCGACTTAGTGGGATACTTAAACTGAGCAGAGCCTTCAGTTACGTGATTAATTATACCTGAACTATACCTGTAATGACAAGTGTCTGCGGAGAGGAGAGTCTTTTGCAGACAGTGTGAACAATCTATGTCAGTCTAGAAGGCTTGTTTATGGTAAAGTGCTATCTGTGTGTGTGCGTGTGTGTGTGCACGCGCGCTAGGTAGCAGAGTTGGTCACTGTTTTCAACAGTGTCACACCTTGTACAGAGCTGACCACATGGCTGTCAAACTTTAGACCCTGAACTGAACACATGCAATATCTACCAGAATACCAAGAAAACAGAATTATCTCCAGAGAACATCACTGACAAAACAGGCTTTAACAGACATGTGGTTTTACTGTTTACCTTTGATAATTTCTGAACTACACATTTTTTCAGTGCTATTGTGCACTGGACTCCCTCATGTTACTGAACTTTTTTTGACAAGCCCTCAAGGTAACAGTCCAAGTAACAGACCAATTTTTGACTACATAAACTTGTCATAATATAAAATCAGTCTACATTTACGGGATGCATTTAGGTTATTTTCTAATACAGCCTTTATAGGATGGATATACAATCTATTCAACCTGCAAAAATGATTGTATAAGGTTCTTGGAAATAAAAACATAAACAAGACCTTGCTGTATTTGGTGAGTTTATTGTCTTCACTACATTGATCCAAAGGGCTCCTACAGCCTTTCACCAAGTCAAATCACAATGAAATATGAAATTATGTATGCTGATTCAGGGGCTCAACGGTTGCACTTTATGTCTGTGGTTCTTTTGTTGTCAGAGTTCAGTACTCCACCGTCATAAGTCAATCCAGTTTAACCTCTGTAGTATGAGAAGAAAAACTGCAACCTCTTTGCTCAACCAGAACCAAGTCATACTGATAAAATAAACATGTAACACATTTACATTACACTACTAGTGACCTGGACCTAAGCCACATGTGCTTAGTCAAGAGCATTTGAAGGATATAGTGGAGTCATTACAGTGTCACAAGGAGCCATGTTAGCTCCACTGTGCTGATGCGTGGTTGAAGGAATAACAGTTTTGTTGAATCTCTAAGGGCTGGATGCCTGGTGGTGTTGTTAAGGGCATGGCTACATATTTGCAGCCAAAACATTTTTTTAAAAATAGGATCAGTCCTAGAAAAGAGGTAGCAAACTAACCCCCCCATGGCCCAATATGGCCAAACTCTTTCATCAGTGCCTCTGTGCTTTACAGACAACAGCACCCACAGGCAAACAATCAGGCTCAAACACCACAGGCTGCAGACTCCTGGCCCTGTGTGTGTGAAGTCCTTTCACAACAACTAGCATCAATATTACAACTCAAGAAAATGTTTTGGTTCTTATATTTTTTTGTAGCCTGACCACAAAGCACAAAAACACCCTGATCTGTGTAGCATGAGAAATACAGTACATTTATTAAAAAAAATACAAAATAAGCATCCGACTGTTTTACCATCATGAGAAGCATTGTACAAGGACTAGAAATTAATAACAAAAGAAGTTGTATTATTTCAAACCTTGTAAAAGTGTAGAATCTATTTACATCATGTCAGAAAGCAAGTATGAAAGCACACAGTTGGAGAGGAGAAGTCATGAGAGATAAATCAGGGCAGTAAACCATTCTTCATAAAAGAGGTGTTTTATTTTAGCCTACTATCAGTCTTGAGTCAAAATGACATTTAAAAAGTTCAGTCCTTCAAGAGACCAGCTAGGAGGGGTTAGTCTAGAGCAATGATGTCATCGTCATCTTCGGTGGGGGCAGCCGCTGCACTTGACTGGTCTGTTCGTGGACGCTTGGTGGAGGTCTCACCGGTTTCTGTGTCTGAGTGCTTCCTTTTGGAGCCACTGGTCGCTGCTGCTGAGCTGGAAGAGGCCCCCCCCTCCTCATCAGAGTCAACAATCATGATGTTGTCATCTTCTGCTGGAGCTAAAAGATGGTGGATGACAAGGTTCATGCTCAGATTAAACAGAAGCAGATCTTGTTTCTACCAAATGCAAGAACCACCTTTGTGAAGTTTAAGAACAAACTGGTCTAAAGGTCAGTTTAGGCCAAGATGTTTACATTAAGAACCTGGTAAAAAGTATTTTTTCTATAAGTGTTTAAATGCTACAATGGGGTGGCTGTGGCTCACGAGGTAGGGCAGTCGTCTCCTGACCAGCAAGTTGGTGGTTAAGTGTCCCTGCAAGACACTGAACCCCGAATTGCTCCTAGTGGCTTGACTAGCGCCGTTGTGTGGCAGGCTGTCGTCATCGGTGTGTGAATGTTGTGTGTGAATGTGTGAATGGTGTATGATCTCCTGTAAAGCACTTTGGCCAGTGCAACACACTGTGGAAAAATGCGCTATATAAATACAGTCCATTTACCATTTACAAAAGAAAAACTGGTGAAATTCTCACAGATACCATACTGATGTTGAGCCATTTTTTTCTTTTTGAAGTAACAGTGATAAATGCTACTGATCCAAAGCAACTGAAATTAAGCCCATCCAACTATTCAGCACCAGTTTCAAATCTATAGCTCTTTGCTTGCAGTTTCAGGTAAACCTGCACCACCCATTGAGAAGGAAATTATCATTGGCAATAGTTCAGAATAGCAGGTGTACTGTAGACATGCAGTACACCTCAGTGCCATTTTCTAATGGTAAACAGTCTTATACTTATATAGCGCATTTCTATGCTTTACAGCACACTCAAAGCGCTTTCACACTACTTGGCCCAGGCATTCGCAATCCGAAACACTCACACATTCATACACCGGTGTTATCACCGGAAGCAACTGGAGATTCAGTGTCTTGCTCAAGGACACTTCGACACGTTGACTGGACAAGCCGGGATTCGAACCGCTAATCCTCCAGTTAGGAAACAACCCGCTCTATCTCCTGGCCATCCTGACACTTGAACTACCTGGAGGAGATGTTACAAGTCAGGTGCTCCGGCTTCCTCCCACTGTCCAAAGACATGCAGCTTAGGTTGACTGGCAACTCTAAATTGCCTATAAGAGTGAGTGCGAGTGTGTGTGGTTGGTTGTCTACATGTGAGCCCTGTGATAGACTGGTGACCTGTCCAGGGTGTACCCCGCCTTTTGCCCAATGTCCGCTGGGTTAAGCTCCAGCCCCCCCACGACTGACAAGTTACAGGACACTGGTTTCCCCACGTGAACATGAGAATATGTCTGATCACAGTGGAAAATCCTGAAGAAAAATTACTACGTGGGAAAATCAGCAACTTTTAAATTCTTTGAAATAGTGGACAACAGGTTTGGTCATGGTCCATTTTTCACTGCAGAGGAGGGAGGATTTGAAACCAACTTTACCTGGCCAATAGGTATTGAGCCTCCAACAGGCCATATATCAACTCCAGGTAGTACTGAGTTGCTTAATGGTTATTAATGTTAGCTTGTATGTACTCAGTCTTTTTCAATAAGCAGTAAGCAGGATACTAGTTTTTATCAGGTACACAGGGATACACATAACCATATTTCTCTATGTTCCATGTAAACACCATATGCCAAATATGATCAAAACCAGGATACTGCTGTCCATGTAAACACACTCATTACAACATGGTGCTGTAAGGACATTCCAACTCTGAAATTTGATTGAAGGCGCAGTCATTTTATCCCTGCCTTGTCACTACAATCCCCAGATGAAGTGTAAGAACAAAAATGAACACTTGCATGCATTTCATTGGTCTAATGCAGTTGCTTGGAAGATGAGGTCAGGTTGTGCTGTGGTAAAACCTGGGCCAAGTTCATTGTCTTTGCTTACCAACACCGTTGCCTCATGAAATGAATGAGGTGGCAGTGATTGCCATGTAGTACTGTCTGTCTGAATACATTTCTCCCATTGATGACTCATACAGCCAATCTGCAGGTTTCAGCTACTATTTCTACTTTTTAATGGGTGAGGTTTAGTC